TATTGATGCAAAAATTAATAATTCTGGTAAAGCCCTTAGAGGAGATAAGATCAAGCGGGGGCTGCTGTGAGTTGGGTTCAGCTAAGACCAGTTGTTTCTCGCTGAGAAACGAAGAGGCCACGAGCTGGCCAGATAAGCTTCTAGTCCCAGGTACTGTGATTATATTTTCAACAAATATGATGCGTGCAAAATACTTTTAAAAAAAGCCATGAAAATAACGTAAGTTGCAGGACGTCCTTGTGTAGCTGCTCAGAGCAAAGGACATTTTAAAAACAGGACATTGTAAAATCAGGGGGCATAACTCAATTAGGAGGATTATAGCGAGAGTAGGAGACAAACGTGAGAAATCATGACCCGAGTTCGCATTTGGTCCATGTGACAAAATACAATACAGGGAGGCACAGGAAGGAAAAAGTGTGAAAGAAAGAAAGAACATTATATTAAAGCTAGAGACTGTGTTAGACAAGTAATTTAGAAATCAAATCATTTGCAAGAGCATGAAGAATAACATCTAAATGGCAGACAGGAAGAACAAGATTAAGAGCTTTTTGAAATAAATAGCAATACTTTGAGGCTTTTAAGAAGTCAGCATGAGCTTCTCAGGGGAGTAATGAAAGCAGAAGGTTTCAGGAACACTGCAACATAACCTGGCGTGGCTGAGGGGTTGAATGAAATGATTTAGAATGAGAACGTATTGTGAACTAGTATCCTGGAAGCGAAGCTCCATTTCTGAGGAGAACTGAGATAGCTCAGGAAGAGCTGTATAATCATCAGCTTAAACATGTGCGGTGTAAACTCAGTACCAGATTCACAGATGAGAAACACCCCAGTGGCAGCCTATGAAAGACTTAAAAAGCAGCTGAAGCAGCCCATATTTAATGAAAACAGAGAGCAAACAGAGCCAGTGCTGGGCTGAGACCCTCCTCAGCTCTCCAGCCAGCCAGAGGTAGCTAGCAGGGTCAGGGGCCAAGCAAACCTGTAAGCCTCCAGCACAAGATCAACACCAGTAAATCCCTTGGAGAACAAAGCCCCCTGTCTTCCCCAGCTAGTTTGATATAATTTTGGCCAGATTCTCAACCAGCAGAAACTGTCACAGCCCAGTTCACTTCAGCAGAGTCTCTTGTTGTATATTTATAAACCACAGGCTAAGGTGCTTCTTAGAGGGTTCTTGGCAATGGGTAGACTTACTCTGTGGGTGACCAAGCAAGCAAGCAAGAATTCAACTTGACAGTATTTTCAGCTTTTCTAGGTCTTCAACATTACTGACTATTGGAAAGTTTATCAGGCTACCATCTTTCTCTCAGAAATAGGCGATTTTCAACAAGCAGAACTGTTTTTTCTTGGCATTTTGTGGGAGGACTTAAAGAAATTTTCTGTGAATTGTTTTCTGCTTCAAGCAGTGCTCCTAAATCAGGTACTGTAAGATCAGCTAGAGAGCAAACAGGGTTTTGGGGAAATGACTCACAGGTCAGAAAGCGGCACAGCAATGGGTAACGAGGCCAAACTTCAGGCCTTGCAGGAGTGTTGTTTTGTGATGAAGGGTGACAGAACTTGTCAAACTGCTGTTCTTACTGGATCAAGTTAGAGCAAAGTAAGGAACTTTCCTCCAGTGGGATATTAAAATGACAATATTTTTCAAAATTGCCAAAACACTCATACCTTTGAAAGTGATGAACTAGCTAGAAAAAAAATCTCACATGAAATGGAAATAAGATACAAGTTATATATCTTTACATCAGAACAGATCTGGAAGCTCAGAGAATTTGAAGTATTGATTAGGAAAAATATTTTTGAAGTAATTTCTGCATGTAATGGGTGACAGAGTCTGAAAAGATTATAAGCCATCTGCATGCTCCTAGAAGTTCTTTCAATGGAAATTATTTTCTGTTCGAGCTACAAAGATTAAAGAGAAAAAAAATCATATCACATGGTATGTTCATTTGCACAGGGCTGCCGCAGGCACAGATTATGTTTTTGGCCAAAAAGGAACTTACCGGAGAGCTCTTCTGTGTCAAGATTGCTGGAAAGATAAGAGGATAGAAGATTAGCGAGCTTAGTAATGCTTTCTGTTGGATTGGTGAATACTAGGACTCAAAGATTAGGCTGACTGGGATATGAAGCCTCCCTGCCGGGGCTGTAGCAGGAGGTGTGAGTGCCTGGCCCTTGCTGGCCTTGCTCTGCTGCCTTAGGGAGGCTTGTCCCAAGCCGAAGGCTGTAGCTGGCTGCAGGTGAAGCCTCCCTTCCCCATTGTGTTCCCACTGGCACCTTCCTACTCACCGACAACCCCCTCTGAAGTTCCCCACCTAGCCTTTGTGCATCATGGTGGAGCGTCACTGCTCCTCAGGCTTTATGTACTTGGTCCTAATGCTGGGAGAAATCCATCTAAACACCAGAAACTCTTTTTTTTTCCACCTTTCTGCCTGCATTCCGCTTCTGGGGCTGTCATGCTGGATAACATGGCTCAGAGAGCTCAGCCCTCTGTGCTAAATGAGGGAAAATGCAATAGATTTCTCCTGTTTGCACTCCTCACCAGGAGAGACAGTACAGCAGGAGGATAAAACCGGACATAACCCATCAGCATGCATAATTTCTAAGTCTTTCTGGCCATACACAGTCTTTTAGCAGTACTAACTTCAGCAAAATTAGTGACATGAAAAAAAATAGCTGTATTGATGTATTCCCATGCCAACATTATATAAATACATGTGTATGCAAGTATTCTACACAATTCAAAACTGTCCATTTCCAACCGATTTCATCTTGATCAACTCTTAAGCAATAATTTTTTCTCTGAGTCTTTAACAGTGAAAAGATAAACCATTTGACCTACAGCTCAATTCTGAAATTTAGCATATTGACTTTCTTCCAAGGAGGAGAAGAAACTGATTATTAAGGAAACTTAAAAGCATGAATGCCCTTTTTGAATCTTGCTGAGGGGTGAAGATTGAATGGCTGATTGCACTTAGGATTTTTTCACTTATCTTTTTAATGGGCTTTTTTTTATTGACCTTTTAATAAAATGATGACACAGTATTATCTTGAAGTCACTTTCACCAATGCTAACTTCCATACATCTGGCTTTTATTTCACGAGAGAGAAGCAGACAGAAATTGCAAGATCCTGGCTTGTCACAAACTTGCATACTCAGGGCTATAAAAACTTGCGAACACTTTTAATTGATGATGTAAATGAGATTTTCCCACAACTTTTATTAACTGAAGGTGACCTTATCTACATTTGAAGAGACCAGGTTGGATGGCTGAAACTGAGTCTTGAATCTGATTTTTCCAATCACCTTGGTGGCAGGTGTAATGAAACTCATAGTCTGTAAGAACTGGTGCTAAAGCTGAGAAACTTAACTCTTCTGTCAACAAGCTATGGGATGGGAAAAAGTGTCAGCGACTCATTAAGGCAGTTCACCACAGATCACGATGACGTCAGTGATCAAGCGTGTCCGATCAACCACTTGTGTACTTCAGCAGTCATTTTTGGAACAGTCCAGATGTTCACTCCTTGAATGTAAACTGAAACCCTGAAAGCTGAAAATTGCCTGAGTCAAAAAGCAATGACTGAATATGATGATGTTAAGTGACAAGAGCTTGCTGTTATGATGCCTACCTTTTGTTCATTGTCCCTGCATTTTCTCCCCCTTCACATCATCTGCCCTAATCCCTTCTCTTTGTAAAAGGCATTTCTGCATTTCTTAATGTACAGCTTGATAACTGTGTTTAAAACAGCCTTTGACATTGTTAGCCAGTCAAATTCTCTCTCCCTTTTCAAGTTTCTTGTTAAAGTCCACTCTGGTCCTTGTTCTTCTGCAGTATCCTCAGCAGTGTGGTAGCGATATAGTAAGGGAGGGGCTCAGAGGCTTTCAGCATTGCTGTCATCAGGACATCACTGTTAGTCCTATTGATGGAAGTGATGCAGCTGCAAATGAACTACAAGTAAAAATGGAAAACTATCTGCGAGATGAACTCATTTTCAGATAGAATTGAACACCTGCGTAAACGAGAAAATGATTGTCCAAAGTGATTTGTTCAGCAGCATTCAGGAAGCCTGTGACAGAACACAGAAATGACATAAAAAGTGTGGATTTCAGTCTAGAATACTCATAGTATTTCCTTCTCTATTATAAATACCCTCTGAGGCTCCATTGTTCTTGGCATCCTAGTTGAAGGGGATGCTGTTCTAGGCAGGGAAACTATAATTTTGAGTCACCAATGATTTCATTCTCTCAGAAATAATAACATGGTGCTTCAAACAGTCATGAACAAACCTAGAAATTAGTTTTTCTGTATACAAACAATTTTGAGCTCCCTGCAGGATGCTACAGAAGCAATTAAAGAAGTTTGGAACATATTCAGTAGTACAGGAGCGAGGTGCACACCAGAGGGCTGTTTCTGCAACTCAATACTCAGGTTTATAGTGGGCACCTGTTCATAGAATCATAGAATCACAAAATGCTTTGGGTTGGAAGGAACCTTTAGAGGTCATCTAGCCTAACTTCCCTGCAATGAACAGGGACATCAACTAGACCAGGTTGCTCAGAGCTCTGTCCAACCTGGCCTTTAATGTTTCCAGGGATGGGGCATCTACCACCTCTCTGGGCAACCAGTGCCAGTGTTTCACCACGCTCACTGTAAAAAATTTCTTCCTTATATCTAGTCTAAATCTACCCTCTCTTAGTTCAAAGCCATTGATCCTTGTCCTATCACAACAAGCCCTGATGAAAATATTTTCCCCCTCTTTCCTGTAGGCCCCCTTCAGGTACTGAAAGGCTGCTATAAGGTCTTCCCGCAGCCTTCTCTTCTCCAGGCTGAACAAGCCCAAGTCTCTCAGCCTTTCCTTGTAGCAGAGGTGTTCCAGCCCTCCCATGATTTTTGTGGCCTCCTCTGGACCCGCTCCAACAGGTCCATGTCCTTCTTGTGCTGGGGGCTCCAGAGCTGGACGCAGGACTCCAAGTGGGCTCTCACCAGAGTGGAGTAGCAGGGCGGAATCACCTTCCTTGACCTGCTGGCCATGTTTCTCTTGATGCAGCCCAGGATACAGTTCACCATTTCAGTGGGTATGTATGCGAAGGATGCTTCTGCTTAGACCTATAATCTGGCAATGCTGAACATGTTATCTGCAGTATTTGCTGGATGACTCACATCCAGGCGCCAGCACTCCACTCCTGATAAGCACCTGAAGCATAGGGTGCAGCCAAACGCATTCACGTCATGTCAGCACGATCGTTCTTTAATCTTCTGCTCTCAGTTTGCTTTCTGACTACTAAATGCAGTCCTTCTACATGTCTGACTTTGGGTCTAAAATGTTCCCTACCTAATAACATGAGCTGTTTTTAAAGGACTATTACAAATATGCCACTGAACAGTCCAGATCACTGCAAAGTTGATCATACCTGTTGCTTAGTGAGAGAAACATTAGTAAATTCACCCAAATGAACTGTGGCAAAAGTGCCTATTTGTGGTACTTCTGGAAGTGGTCCAAACCATAGGAGTGCAAAGCAGCTGTGATCATGCTCTAGTTCTGCCCACCACAGTCAGCTGTGGACTGGGGCCAGCCAGGGAGGAGGGAAGGTCAAAGCTATTCTACTCCACCCGCTGACCTGACACGTAGCACCCTCTGGGACGAAAGGCACTTCTAGGCAAAGGTACCCTCAGAGAATATGCATATTATCACTGCACCACAAGAAGAGGCAATGACATTTCTTCAGTACAGAGACTATATATAAACTATGGACTCTGGCATCTAAGGCAGTTCTTTTACTGAAGAATCCAATACTATATGAAACACTTTATGAACTAACTTAATTTAGGAAATTCATTGCCATGCCTATCATAGCTGGGGAAAGATAATGCTTTCTTCTTCAGATGTCTCCTCATTTACAGATATGAGAAGGATCAGCTCAGAGGGCCAACCGTGTCCTGGGCTGCATCAAGAGAAGCATGGCCAGCAGGTCGAGAGAGGTGATTCTGCCCCTCTAGTCTGCTCTGGTGAGACCTCACCTGGAGTAGTGCATTCAGCTCTGGAGCCCTCAGCACAAGAAGGACATGGAACTGTTGGAGCGGGTCCAAAGGAGGGCTACAAAAATGATCCGAGGGCTGGAGCACCTCTCCTATGAGGACAGGCTGAGAGAGTTGGGCTTGTTCAGCCTGGAGAAGAGAAGGCTGCAAGGAGACCTGATTGCAGCTTTTCAGTACTTAAAGGGAGCCTATAGGAACCCTGGAAACATTCAAGACCAGGTTGGACAGGGCTCTGAGCAACCTGATGTAATTAGCGGTGTCCCTGCTTGCTGCGGGGGGGTTGGACTAGATGACCTCCAGGGGTCCCTTCCAACCCAAAACTTTCTATGATTCTATGATTCTATGATTTATTTCAGAGGCTTGAACCAACTCTTTTTTGGGTCTTATTTGCACATCTCTTTGCTAAATTTGGTTTAAGGGAGGAAAGTATGAGGCTGGTATCTCCTATTGTTAGAAGCATATAATTTGTGACTGAAAGGAATTAAATGTTACTTACACTGTGCAAGGGTAACTGAATAGTCATCCATGGACAATCTCAGCCAAAAAGCTGTAAGCTCTTCCCAACATGAAAGCCTGCATACCATCCCACTTCAAGTCGGCCAAATGAGATAAGTGCTCCAACACTACAGAGGGTGTTGTGCAAAGGGGTCTTCTGTGTGCACTTCCATTCTAAGGACATTCTGCTTCACAGCTCCTTTGCAACAGCAAAGACTGTTTCACTCAGGTTTGTTCAAGGTTTCTTGTCGGTGGAGGCAAAACTGCCTTTTGCCATCAGTCGCATGCAATGTTGGGACCAGACCAGGCATTGGCCTCTTGCCGCAGAAAAGGAAGAGGAAGAAGAAGGGGCAAAGGTGGGACAGAGCTCCAGGGGCTGGTCCCTGGGAAGCCAAACTGCTGCTGCCCTGAGGACACTGCTGCTCTTCAACCCCAGGGCCAGCTGGGCTGTGCACCCTCTGACCTTTCAAATGTGACAGCCAGCTTGGCTTTCTGGACT